ATTTCCCCTCAATTAAATTTTTAAAAAATAGCCCCAGATCCACTCACCTCTCCCTCAGACAATGCAAAATTCAATCATATTATGAGGGGTATTACACTATGAGGTCATTAATCAACCCCATCTCATTGCCCAGTATCTGCTCTCCGGTCAGCTCCAGCTACAAACGCAAGTCACAAATCCCAGACATTTGATGAACTCCTCATTTGTGGTTCTTTTGCCGGTCTTGATATTTTCAGTTGATACATAGATTAAATTCACCCATTAGCATCATCATGTCTTTCTGACAAGCTCTTATTATTTCCTAATTTAAACCCCACCTACTGTGCTCAATTGTTAGGAAGCTATACACCACTCCCAAGTGACTTGCTTTTACAATTTTTTATTCCTACTCAAACTGTTTCACATCTTGCTACCCTAAACTTGGGTCATCATCTCTAATGTGCTAATAGCATAATCAGCCACAGGGCTCCCCCCTCCACCTTTTCCTACTATCCACGGTTCCTGAAATATCCTCCATCCTTCATTGTTACAATCAGGGTCAGGACTTCTTATTCATTTGTGGGACGTGGACATCGCTGGCTGGCCAGCATTTATTAACTAACCCTAGTTGCCCTTGAGAAGGTGGTGGTGAGCTACTACATCGAATAGCTGCAGTCCAGCTGCTGTGGGTTGACCCACAATGCCATTAGGGACGGAATTCCAGGATTTTGACCCAGTGACAGTGAAAGAATATTGCAAGTCAGGACAGTGAGCCTCTTGAGGGGAACTTGTTTGTGTATTCCCATGTACCTACTGCCGTCGTCCTTCTAGATGGAAATGGTCATGGGCTTGGAAGGCGCCGAGTATCGCGAGTGAATTTCTGCAGTGCATCTTTGAGATGGTACACACTGCTGCTACTGAGCATTGGTGTAGGGAGTGGGTGTAGTGCAAATCAACCAGGCTGTTTTGTCCTGCATGGTATCAAGCTTGAGTGTTACTGGTGCTGCACCCATCCAGGGAAGTGGGGAGTATTCCATTACACTCCTGACTTGTGCCTTGTAGATGACGGACAGGCTTTCAAATGGCTGTCAAATGCAGCCTCGATGTCGTCAAGAGCTGACACTCTCAGCTCAACTCTAGAATTCAGCTCTTTTGACCATGTTTGACTCCAGGCTGTAACAAGGTCAAGAGTGGAGTTGCCCTGGTGGAACCCAAACTCAGCGTCACTAAGCAGTGTATTCCTCAGCAGGCATTGCTTGATAATAGCGTTGATGACACCTTCCATCACTTTACTGATGATCAAGTATAGACTGATGGGGCATTAATTGGCTGGACTGGATCTGTCCTGCTTTTTATGTGCAGGACATACCTGGACAATATTCCACATCGTCAGGTAGATGCCGGTGTTATCACTGTGCTCTAACTGTGTGGCTGGAGGAGTAGCAAGTTCTGGTGGAGAATAACTTACATCATGTTTTGTTGCACTATTACTGTGCCATCAAGTGACGGACAAAGCTAAGCAAACCTACAACAACCAGATCAGATTTAAGCTTTGCAGTCATGCAATATCCAGACACGAATGGTGATAGACAAATTATCAACTCAGTGGAGAAAGAGGCTCCACAAATATCCCTATCTTGAACGATGGGATAGCCCAGCACATCTGTGGAAAAGGCTGAAGCATTCACAGCGATTTTCAGCCAGATGTGCCGAATGGATGATCCATCTTGGCCTCCTCCAGTCGTCACAGCATTACAGATGCCGGTGTTCAGCCAATTCAATTCACTCAATACGATATTTGGGGAGGTGATGGCCCAGTGGTATTATTGCTGAGCTTTTAATCCAAAGCCCCAGATAATATTCTGTGGACGTAGGTTTGAATCCCACCATGGCAGATGGAGGGGTTTGAATTCAATAAAGAAAATGTGGAATTCAGAGTCTAGTGATGACCCTGAATCCATTGTCAATTGTTGGAAAAACCCATCTGGTTCACTAATTTTGTTTAGGGAAGGAAACTGCCATCCTTGTCTGGACTACATGTGACTCCAAACCCATAGCAATGTGGTTGACTCTGAACTGCTTTCTGGGCAATTCGGGACAGGCAATAAATGCTCCCTAGCCATTCACACCCTCATCCCATGAACAAATAAAAAAAAGAAATGGTTGCAGACAGTGGATACTACAAAGGCTATGGGCCCTGACAACATTCTGGGAATAGTGCTGAAGACATTTTCCCCCCCTCCTTTGACCTGAATTGCTTTTTATCCTTTAAAAAAAAATGTCTCACACACTGCCCCTTTTGACCTATGCTATACATCATTAGCTAAATAATTTTCTTGCAATGCTGTCATACCATTTTGCTTTCTAAGCTTACATTTTCCCTCTCCCAAACTTTCCTCCTCCACCACTCTACATCCCAAAAAGGCCTCTTTACAGCCCCTGTTATTCAATTCACCAAGAGATTGGTCCCAGCACAGTTCAAGCGAAGCCTGACCTGCTAGTCAGTTTTGTTCGCTACTACTGGTGCCAGTGCTCCACAAAATGAAAACCATTTCAGTCACACCAATTCTAAGCCAACATTTTACTATTTGACTTCATTTACGTCAGCTTGCTCGTGACCCAGGGAGCAACCCAGAGATTATTACACTGAAGGAGCTACTTTCTACTTTAGCTCCTAACTGACAGAACTTAAACAGCAGAACCTCATTCCTAGTCCTATCAAGGTTACTGGTACCAATATGGACATCAACAACTCAATCCCTCTCCTCCTACTCCAACATTCTCAAGCTCTGTGGAGACATCCTTTATCCTAGCATTGAGCAGAGTGCTTGTGACTAGTCTGCAAATATTTAGAAGTCTAATAGTCCACTGAACAAGCAAAGGGTTAAGTCAGGAGAAAGTTTACTGGAGGGTTGTTACAGCAAATTTGTTTATTAGATCAAGTTTGGTCCACACATATTGACAACATTGGGGAAAGGTTCAGAAGAAAATTAGAGGAAATATGTCTGATGAAAGTACACTACCAGATCTACCAGCTCTGTCCAGGCATTGAAACTTGTTTTTATTTTAGATTTCTAACATTCACTTTTGTTTTGCTTCTCTACCAGCATGATTAGTTCAGGAGACTCTTAATTTCTCCGTATACACTTATAAGTACCTATATGTACTTTACGTAGAGCAGACTTGGACACAATCAGAAAGACGCAAACCAAAATCAATGGCCTGGATTCAAGAAGCTTGACACCATCCAGGACAAAGCAGCCCGCTTGATTGGCACTATGTCTAAATGCATTCACTCCCTCCACCACCAACGCTCAGTAGCAGCAGTGTGTATTATCTACAAGATGCACTGCAGAAATTCACCAAAGATCCTCAGACAGCAACTTCCAAACCCACGACCACTTCCATCTGGAAGCACAAGGGCAGCAAATATATGGGAACACCATCACCTCCAAGTTCCTCTAAGTCACTCACCATCCTGACTTGGAAATATATTGCTGTTCTTTCACTGTCGCTGGGTCAATAACCTGGAATTCCCTCCCTAATACCATTGTGGGTAAACCCACAGCAGGAGGACTGCAGCAGTTCAAAAAGGCAGCTCACCACCACCTTCTCAAGGGCAACTAGGGATGGGCAAGAAGTGCTGGCCCGCCAGCCATGCCCACATCCCACAAATGAACAAAACAAAAAACTGCACTACTTACTGATGTCATTTCAGTTTAAAAGGTTGAAGAGGGCCACAGTCATACTTATAAACTGCTCAAGTTGTTTTTTTATGAGAGTAGATAGCCTTTGCATTGCATTGCATTCTGGCTTCATGCAAGCAAGCCTTCAAGAAGGAACTAAACCAATTTTTGGCTGGAAGAATTTTCCATTTGTATAAAGAAAGAGTGGATTAACAGATCATGTATGCATGACGACTGTGACCCCTTCTGGCTTTGATTGTCTGAGGAAGTTAGAGGCATTTTCAAGACAAACTTCCCGTTGTCTTTCCCCCTCATTCCCTAAGATAACACGATTGCTTTGAGTAGCAAGTATCTAATGTTGACTCCTCAGCAATTACTTATACAGCAGGCTTGTAAGAACTTTTCCGCTAGTCATTTCCATTTGGCCATGTTACAAGCATTTACTGAGGCATGTAAATATTTAAAAACTGACTAAAATTTGAAAAAAAAAATAGAAAGTTACAGGGAAATAAGGTGGGAAGGGAGACTGGAATAAATATCTGAAATAACAGTCTTCAGCAATATGGTCATTTGTTCAAATGTCAACCCCTTGATAGTTGTAACTTTTTTTTAAAAAAAAAACTATATATTTGCCCATACAAGGGGGGGACTTAAATTATCAAAGCCCTGTCAGATACTGAACAGTCAGAACTGGCAGGACCTTATCAATTCAATGTTAACTTGTTGGTAACATTGTTCTCTAGTTCTGAAGACTGTAGCATTAAATACCATTCCTGAAAATTTTATTCAGTAAAATATAGATGTCCAGTCTAGTACTGATTTACACTAGAGGACATAAATGATCTACAGCAGGATTTGGAAGAAAGTTGGCATTCGTACCTCAATTATCTAGTAATTTATCCCACTGTTTGTTTAGAAGTTGTTGTATGAGCATTTGCTACCACACTAATTTAAACATTTGGGTTCTGCTGAGGTTGTGAAAGTTTTTACGTAAATATAAGGTTTTTGACTCCAATTTGTCATGCAAATTGGAGAACTCAATTCCAAGCATGAACATATATCACCGTTTTAAAAGAACAGTTGACATTTTCAGTTCATATTGTCGTAATGAACATTCTTTTATGATTGATATCTTTAAAGATATCATAAACTAAATCGACAATAAAACATTTATTATTTGAACAGCATTTTAGTTAAACAATGTTGAAGAAATTCAGTTGGCTTTACTTTAAATCCCATGCTATCAAAAATTGCATTTATAGCAACTGAAGCGCCAATTACAACTTAATTGTGCACTGTTACATGCAAATTGATAACTGGCAAAACTGCACCCACCTCTGATCTCATGCGTTTCGCTCGTCGGGCTGGCATGCTCATTTCTGAAGAGTGCAGAGATTGTCGCTGAACAATATCATGTGGCTTGTACTCTTGGTCTTTCTCATCATTGATCAGACTTGGTTTCTGGACACACTGAAAACAATGATGTTAACCTTAGTACAAATTTAAAACTAATGAAAATTTTCAAGGAAAAAATTTAACTCAAATTTAAAAAATACAAAATTCATCAAGTATTCCTAGTTGCTCTGTTTTTAAAATTGCTTGATCAATTGTGCGTATACTAGACAAGTCAGTGAGTGTAACTAGAGTCACATATAGATCATCTGAAACCAACTTTCATTGTTGTCTTATGTTTAAAAACCAGTTGAGTAACTATGACAATCCAACAGCTCATCCAGATGACGACTGTTGGCAACAGTCTTCAGATTATATCAACCATTCGCGGTTTTCTACATCATTTGCCTAGCTCTCTGGTTGTTAATACTATAACATAACCATTCCACTACAATTGTTAACATTTTAATGAAGAAAAAAAATAAGTGAAACATGTAAAAAGTGAAGATGGTTAAACACGAATAAGCTATTACAAAGAAAAAGTATACAAATCATAACACTTTTGCCTCCTTGGCTTTAGTAAACTGGAGTTAATTTAGATCATGCAAGTACTACAAATAAAACTCCTTCAAACAATTAATACAAGCTATACATAGAAGCCTGATTATGCCGGTTGACATTTTATCTGATTTCAGCTATGAGAATTCTATTCCTTGCATACAACACTAACTATTATTAATTAGCACATTAAGGAAGGGGGCTCTGAAATAAATAGAGAGGTGGAGGCGGCAATAGAAGGTGGATAGTGGAGCAGATAGGTCAGGGAGGCAGGGATGAAGCTAGTAAAGGTAAGTGTAGGTAGGGAGTTGGGATGGGGGTTCAGTCAGTGAGGGAGGGAGGGACAGGTAGGTGGGAGGGAAGACGGACAGGTCAAGGAGGCGGAGACGAGGGGGGGCTAGTCTTGGGGAGGAGGTTGGGGGTGGGGAGATTTTGAAGCTCATAAAGTCCACATTGAGACCATTAGGTTGAAGGGTTGCAAGGCGGAATAGGAGGGGCTGTTCTTCCAGTTTTTGAGTGGCATCGTTGTGACACTGGAGGAGGCATAGGATGGACAATGTCGTCCAGGGAATGGGAGGGGAAGTTGAAATGGTTCGCGACTGGGAGGTGTTGTCATTTGTCGCGAACTGAGCGTAGGTGCTCCATAAAGTGGTCTCCAAGCCTTTGCTCCTCCCACTTCACTGACCAACCCCCACTTCCTACCTATACTCACCTACTAGCTTCATCTCCGCATCCTTAATCTGTCAGTCTTCCCTCCCACCTACCCACCCCTCCCTCCTCACAGTCGAGGGATATGGTCCAGCAACAAGAATTTAGGGAGCTAGTAACTACTGAAAAAAAGTCCTGAGAAGGTTGTAATGTTTGGATTACTCCCAATACCACACACTAACAGTACAGGAATAGGCAGATAGAAGAGAAATGCACTCACGGCTTGAGTTGGAGCAGGAGAGAGGGCTTGTGGGGAGGTTTGCAGGGTTTTAAACTAATTTGGCAGGGGTGTGAAGAATACAGGGTGGATTTACAGTAGGGAGTGATGCACAGACAAGTAAAGAAAACCACCAAGTCAGTCTAGAAGGCAGTGCAAATATAGACAAAAGGCACAAGGGAACATGGCAAGGCTAGACACCATTCATTGTAATGCAAGGCAATGTGCTTGTACGGCAAATGACTTGATAGTATGGATTAATACATGGGGATATGACATTATCACTATAACAGAGGCATGGTTGAGAGAGCAACAGGACTGGCAGTTAATATTCCAGAGTAGAATTTTTAGGCAAGATAGAGGAAGATGTTTAAAAAACAAAACGGTGGTGACACAAGACTTATCAAAGAGACAATTACAGCAGTAGGGAGGAATAGTACACTGGCATTAAAAGCAAAATCCAGAGCCAGTGTATCAGCATATTAGGGCCAAGAGAATAACAAGGGGAAGAGTGGGGCCCGTAGGGATCAAAGCATTACTGTGTTTGGAGCTGGAAGCCATACTTGAGATTTTAAATGAGAACTGAAGAGTTGTACAGCACAGAAAGAGTCCCTTTGGCCCAACTCATCTATCCTGATCAGGTTTCCTAAACTGAACTAGTGCTATTTTCCTGCATTTGGTCCATATCCCTCTAAATCCTTCCTATCCATGTACCTGTCCAAATGTCTTTTGAATGCTGTAACTGTACTCGCTCTACATCTGGCAGTTTGTTCCATATATGCACCACTGAAAAAGTTTTAAGTCTCTTTTAAATCTTTCCCCTCTCACCTTAAATCTATGCCCTCTAGTTTTGGATTTCCATTCCTTGGGAAAAGGACCTTGGCTATTCACCTTATCTATGCCCCTCGCCATTTTAAAAACCTATAAGGTCACTCTTCACGAGACAACAAGGTGCAGAGCTGGATGAACATAGCAGGCCAAGCAGCGTCATAGGAGCTGACGTTTCGGGCCTAGACCCTTCATCAGAAAAGGCGGAGGGGAAGGGGGTTCTGAAATAAATAGGGAGAGAGTGGGAGGCAGATAGAAGGTGGATAGAGGAGAGGATAGGTGGAGAGGAAACAAACAGGTCGAAGAGGCGGGGATGGAGCCAGTAAAGGTGAGTGTAGGTGGGGAGTTAGGGAGGGGATAGGTCAGTCCAGGGAGGACGGACAGATCAAGGGGGCGGGATGAGGTTAGTCGGTAGGAGATGGAGGTGTGGCTTGAGGTGGGAGGAGGGGATAGGTGGAAGGAAGAACAGGTTAGGGAGGCAGGGATGAGCTGGACTGGTTTTGGGATGCGGTAGGGGGAGGGGAGATTTTGAAGCTTGTGAAATCCACATTGATACCATTGGGCTGCAGGGTTCCCAAGCGGAATATGAGTTGCTGTTCCTGCAACCTTCAGGTGGCATCGTTGTGGCACTGCAGGAGGCCCAGGATGGACATGTCGTCTGAGGAATGGGAGGGGGAGTTGAAATGGTTCGCCACTGGGAGGTGCAGTTGTTTATTGCGAACGGGGTCACTCTTCTCTTCAGCTTCCCATGCTCCAGGGAAAAGAGAGCTCCAGTCTATCCAGTTTCTCTTTATAACTCAAACACTCAATTCGGAGTTACATCCTTATAAGTCAGTTTTGCATCTTTCCAGCTTAATAAACATCCTTCCTATAGCAAGGCAAATCAGAACTGTACACAGTACTCCAAATGTAGGCTTACCAATCTCTTGTGCAGCCATATTTTGACACCGCAACTCCTGAACTCAATGCTTTGACTGATGAATGAAAGTATACTAAATGCCTTCTTTACCACCCTGTGACACCACTTCCAAGGAATGATGCACCTGCACCCCTAGGTGTCTGTCTGACAGCATTTCCCCTAGGAACCTACCATTAACTGTAAATCCTACTCTGGCTTGTCTTATCAAAATGCAACTCACATTTATCGGAATTAAACACCATCTACCATTCCTCAGTCCACTGGCCCAGCTGATCAAGATCCTGTTGTACTCTTAGGTAATTTTTTATACCACCAAATTTGGTTTCATTGGCATACTTACTAGCCTTGCCTTCTATATTCTCATCCAAAATGTTGTTTGACATTATATAAAACAGTGTTCATAGCACATTGTTTGTCACAGGCCTTCAGTCTGAATAATAGCCCTCTACAACCACACTGTCTCCTACGGTCAAGCCAATTTTATATCTGATACTTTGCATCTGTATTCACAATAGAGAAAGACAATATAGGTATAGAAACCAGAGAGGAGGGCTGTGATATAGTTGAACAAATTCACATTGAGAGAGGAGGTATTAATAGTTTTATCAGGCTTGAAGGTGGAAAATTCCCCAGGTCCAGATGAGATGTTTGCCTAGGGTGGTGTGGAAGGCCAAGGAGGAGATTGCAGGGGCTCTGACAGTTATTTTCAAATACTCTCTGGCCACAAGAAGACTGCCAGAGGGGGAAAGTTAATCCCCACATGGAGAGAAAAGGATTAATCAAGGATAGTTTGCATGGCTTTGAGGGGGAGATCATGTCTAAAAAGTTCACTGAAGTTTGAGGAGGGGACAAGTTGTGTAGATGAAGGCAGTGCGGTTGATGGAGTTGACGTGGACTTCAGTCAGGCTTTTGACAAAGCCTCGCATGGCAGACTGGTTGAGAAGTTAGTCCATGGGATCCTGGTAAATTGGATCCAACATTGACTTAGTGGCAAGAAAGAAGTCAGTTGTGTAGGGTATATGTGTGACTAGAAGCCCACGGTCGGTGGCATGCCACAGGATTTGGTGGCGAGTTCCTTGCTATTTGTTGGGTACATTTATGATCTGGACATGAAAGTATGAGGTTTTATCAGTACGTTTCCAAAATCACAAAAATTGGTGGTATAGCAGATAACAAGGAGGAAATCCTTGGATGATATAGATAGGTTGGTCAGATGAGCTTAACAGTGGTGGATGGATTTAATCCTGAAAAGGATGAAGTAATGCATTTTGGAGAACACTAACAAGGGAGTATATATTAAATGGTAGGACTCTTGGAGGTACAAAGGATCAAAGGGACCTTGGTATACAGGTCCATAGATCCTTGAAGTCTGCAGGACAGATAGATAAAGGTTGTTAAGACACACATGGGTCACTTACCTTTATTGAAGGCACTGAATACACGCAAAAGTGGTTTCAATAGAGTTGTACATAATATTAGTTGGGCCACAGTTAAAGTACTGTGTGCATGACACTACAGAAAGAATGTGACTACGCTAGAAAGGGTGCAGGGGAGATTTCCCCAGATGTCACCTGGCCTGCGGTTGCTTTCCTTACAGCAGAGATGGCCAAAGAGGGATCCAAATGTGGTGGACAAAGTTTTGAGGGGCATAGAGAGGATAGATAGGAAGAAATCTTTTCCTTTAGAGGGGTTAGTAACCAGTGGGCTCAGTTTAAGGTAAAGAGCTAGAGATTTAGAGGGGATTTTTTTTTTCTATTCATTTTTCTGGGATGTGGGCATCACAGGCTGGCCAGCATTTATTACCCACCCCTAGCTGTCCATCAGAAAGTGGTGGTGAGGTGCCTTCTT